TCTGGTCATCATAGAGCTGCTAAGGAATTCTCCATCTCTAAGAAATCACATAATGTACGGGGCATAGTTCATGAGTAAGCAACCTTTTGGTAAATCTCCCATAACCATGTAGCATGATTAATGAGCCAAAAAGAACCAGTTTGCTGTAGGGGTAAAGGCACCAAGCTAGAAACCAAGAGACCATGAATTCTAGTCCCACTTTAGGCAAGAAGCCGGCTGGGTGACCTTGGGCCAATCACCCTCTCTCAGCCCTATGGAGGAGGCAAGGGTAAACCACTTCTGAAAAACCTTGCCAAGAAAACTGCAGGGACTTGTTCAGGTAGTTGCCAGGAGTCAAGAGTGACTCAAAAGCACAAAAAATAAAAAAATGAAAATGCCAAAATCATGGGAATTATGGTCTAAAGACTAAGAAAGCACCAGTCTGGCTACCAGGCTGAATTGCTGAATTCTCAATAATAATTAGCTTTCGAAATGATTCATTTCCTCTGATGGGCAAGTGTTGCTTCACAGGGAAAAACTTCAGTCTTTGCCAAACACGGCAGGGAGTTAAGAAAGATCAGACTGCGAATCAGAGAAAAGTAGTACAAGAAGCCAACAGGAACCTGCCTTCGAGGTGTAAGGCATCTTACAGAATGAAGTTCTCTTTCAACATCTACTTTCTTGGTTAGTACTGCAGACGGAAGGCTAAATGCAATCAGAGGGTTTGCAATGGCTGGGTGGCTGTTGGATCAGAGATCTTAATTTCTGTTGCTCAGACATTGTGTTGCTAACTGAATGATCTCCTTTCCAGGATGGTGGCTGACCAGGCAGTGGCAATTATCTAGAGGTAAGACAGTTTCAGCACAAAAATAATTGCTATGTAGAAGGAGGTGGGAAGGGAGCCATGTTGCCTACCCAACATCCGTTTTTTGCTGTTCTCCATGAGGACAGATCCAGGCACATAAAAAGCAATTGCATAGGTAGGTTGGTCCATGAAAAAAAAAAAATTATAAATGGGCCATGTCTTTATTTGGACCAACCAAGATGACACAAACAAGCCTTTGAATTCCTAGAACTCTTCCATGCAAAGATATTACCAAAAGCCAGAGTGGAGCAAGAGTTTTAAAAGTTCAGAATGAATCTACTGTACACATTTCATTCATGAGCTCTACAATTTGAAGATGGTCTCCAGACAAAACCTATAAGTTGAATCCATTTGTTAGCAGAAGGTGTCTGCAATATCTAGTTTTGCCTTACTTTTAGGAACAAAGAAGATGATTCCTCCCCCTCCCCACTCGCAAACAGAAAGGAATTTTGTACCTAGAGTTTCCCATGATGTTTCTCCTTGGGCTGAATTGTGAATGATTGGTTTTTGTTTAAAAGTCCCCTTAATGTGTCCCTATTTTAGCTAAGCCACTCGTTGGCCGCACTTTGCTGTTGTTCAGAAGAGCTATGAAGATCTGACTCTTCACCCAGAACGTTGGCAAGGGAGAGTGAAGCCCCTTGTGTCATTGTGCTTGCCATCTTATATCAGTAGATTTTTTTTTATATAAATCCGATTAAAAGTTTTAAAGATAAAAACAAAACCTAATATAAAATAAAGACAACAAAGAACGAGAAAGAGAAAAGGCAAAAGTGCAGAAAGAAAAGATAAAAAGAAATAAAAAGAAGCAGCTTCCGATTTCCTTTGCAGCAAATACAAGTATGATTACAAAGTTATCTCTTACTCTATGGTTACCAAAAAAAACCCAAAACCCTCACTTTTTTCTATTATCTAATTTTTTTTCTAATCATCAAAACCACAAGTCACAAGTTCTGTTTCATGCAAAAAGTCTATAAGGGGTTTCCAGTCAGCCATAAATATAGATTTTGTTTTTCTCTTTAATCAAGGAAGACAATTTAGCCATCTCTGCAAATTCCATCAACTTCACCAACCATTCCTCTGTTGTGGGTAACGTCAAACCTTTCTGTTTTTGAGCATATAATCATCTCGCTGCAGTTGTCATATATAAAAACAAGGTTCCATTTCTTTTTCTAGCTGTCTGTCCATTAGTCCCAAAAGGAAAACCTCTGGTTTCAATTGTATATTAGTCTTTAAAATTTCTGAATTAGTGTATGTATTCGTATCCAAATTTTTTTTAGCTTTTTTACATGTTCACCAGACATAATAAAATGTCCCTTCATGTTGTTCATATCTCCAGTATAAATTCAAGGTACCTTTATACATTCTAGACAATTTCTCTGGTGACAAATACTAATGGTACATCGTTTTATAAACATTCTGTTTAAGTTTAGAATATGATGTAAATTTCAGTCCTTTCAACCACAAATTTTCCCATTGATCCATTTGTATATTATAACCAAAGTTTTTAGCCCATTTTATCGTACATTCTTTCATTTGTTCTTATGTCTCAAATGTCAACAAAAGTTTATACATTTTAGCAATAACATGTTCATCATTAGTAATAATTTTGTTTCAAACTCAGTGTTACATTGTTCAAAACCATAAAATCTTTTATCCATTTCAAACCATTCTGATAATTGTACATAAGAAAACCATTGACAAGTATTTCCGTCTGTTATCAAATCTTCTCTTGATTTTATTTTACATTCTTCTTGAAAAAATTCTAGTATATCACAATAAGTTAACTATTTATGTTTACTTATCATTTCTTGTCTGTAAAATGCTTCTTGTGCTGAGTGCCACAAAAGTGTTTTTGGGCACAGATTTGTATTTATTCCATATTCTCAAAATGGCACACCTGACATAATGGTTTTTAAAAACTACATTGACCTTAGCTTTGTTATATCATAGATACCCATGCCATCCAAATCTCAGATCGTGTTCTTCTAATTCCAATAGCCTTCTATTTCTCAGCAACATCCACTCTTTCATCCAAGCTAAACAGCATGCAGCAAAATATAATTTCAAATCTAGTAGACCCAATCCTCCTCTTTCCTTTGCATCTTGCAATACCTTATATTTAACTTGTGGCTTTTTTCCCCTGCCGTACAAATTTAGATACAGATAGTCCTCACTTAATGACTATTTGTTTAACAACACTTCAGTTACAACAGCCTTGGAAAATGTGCTTTATGACTTATACTCGCACTTACAACCATCACAAATTGTCACAACACTCCCCACGGTCACATGATTGCAATTTGTGACCTTTTTTAGAATGGTTGTTGAGTGAAACACCACTGTTGTTAAGCAAATCACATGGTCGTTAAGTGAATCACATGGTCATGAAGCAAATTTCAGCAAAAATGCCCATGGGGAAGCTGGATTCACTTGATGACCATGTGATTCACTTAATGACCATGTGATTCGCTTAACAGCCATCATAAAAATGGTAAAATCAGGTCCAGTCAAGTGGTGACTTGCTTAATGACCACCCCACTTAACAACCAATTTTCCAGTCCCTACTGTGGTTATTATGCAATAACTACCTGTATATCCTTTTGTCATTGTTTAAATGGTACATCAGATGTCAAAACAGGTATTATCTGAAAGAAAAATAACATTCTAGGTAAGACATTCATCTGAATCACAGAGATTCTCCCCAATAGTGACAATTGTACTTTCTCCCATCTTAACATGTCTTTTTTAACTTCATTCTGTGTCTTTATTTATTTTTATTGTTTTTAAAATAACAACAGAAAAAGAAACACTAAGATAATTATAATGTGAACACATACATTTAAAAAAAAAACTACACATAAAAAGTGCTTAACAAAAAAGGGAAAAAATACAACAGAAAAAAGAAAAAATATATAAAAATGACATAATACATAGTTATAAGAATTAACAGTTATAATTCTATGTATACTTATCTAATGTAAATAACATTCAAGTATGTATATATTAATTTCTAATACATTTATATAACCCTGTCATTCTTTTTTTTTTTTTACCTACTGTATTTTGTATAAATAAGTCCCGTATTTCATTATACTTGTCCATACAAAGTCTACGTCTATAGGCAATCCTCTCATAGGTGGCAAGTGCAACCAGGTCTTCAATCCATTGAGCGAATGGGACCATACATTTACATTTCCAGTGCTGCAATATTAGTCTTTTGGCCATAGAAAGGGCACGGAGAATCCATTTACGTTGTCTAGATGTCAAATTCCATGTATATCATTGGTTCTCAACGGGGGCGGTACCGTGGGGGGCGGTGGGAGGATGCTGAGGGGAAGTGAACTTGTTTTGGGCAGTAGGGGGGCGGTGGGCATGTTTTGGGCGGTA